GAAAATGGCATCTAAGCCTTAATCTTTGGGGCAACTTACGTGGTACTGAAAGTTACAGTCAATAATTGGTTTAGTTAAAATAAAACGTATTCTGAGCAACAAAGACTGACCGCCTGCTGACAGTCGGGAATTCAGAGAACAATAAGGGTTAATGAGAGGCATGACTTGAGAAGTGGATTTCTGGGGAAAGAGGGGGGGGGTGAAAAGTTGGGGCTAGGCATTGAAAGTTAAAAGTAAAACTTGAATGTTGTATTGGTGATTATTCAGTTAAAAGTTTTAAATGTAATAAAAGTCAATTTTCTTTTTGTTTCAAATTTCTGTGTATGTTTTTTTTTTCTGGGGGGCGGGGAGAACTCAGTTTTTGTTGACACCCAGCTCCGCCTGAAGTTTAGTGACCGGGTACCCAGACCCGGTATTCAGCCAAATTTTACTACCCATGGATTCCTAGTAATAAGTTAATTGAAATTATTGTTAAATTGATTAATATCTTTAATTGTTTTTTCTTATTATTACCATTTTCAGTTATTCAAACCATCTAGCATCTGAGTGATCAGAATATTGCCATTACGATACCCAATTGTTAATTTCGATTAATTCAAGGTTGTTCAGCTTAATCGATTACTCACACAAACATTCAACTAATTAAAATTGATAATCGTGATTATTACAACTGGTCAAGTATGGTGAGAGTAATTAATTAATTGAATCTAATCAATAATGAGCTCAACAATTAGTAACTTTCATTAATTACCCAGTTCTGTCACTCGGTAACCATTGTGATTTTCAAGCATATCTGTGTCTCCTACCTGCTTTTATTAACATACAAGTTTTATATTTGTTTTTCTTTTAATAAGGTGATTATGTTCGTGAGTCATGACACTAATAGATTAAGCCGAACAACTTTGGATTAATCGTGGCGAGAAATTACAATGGTATTAATTTGATTACTTATGTAGCAAGAATAATCAAGAACAGTAATAATTGGAAGTTATACTTTCTGTAGTTCATTACTTTCAGGATATTAATTGATTTCAGTTAATCAATTATATTGAGTTAATTGCCCAGTTTTATTCGTTATCTTCGAGACATAATCTCCAAAAACGCCCCAGAATTATAAAAAATATTGCCCTGATAGCCTTTTCAGTTATCGATCTGTTTTGTTGTGGACTTAGTGTGGCCGCTTGAAGACTGGCTCGTCCCTTTGAGAAAAACTCATTTGTGTAGTTTTGGTGAAGTAACACTTTAAACAGTGCTGATTAATTATATCATCAGTAGATCCCTTAGCACAATAAAACAAATATCACACCAGCCTCTCACCCTATTGGCTGGACATTGTGGGAGGGGGCAAAAGCTGTGGTATAAGGATGTTCTGAAATATCGTCTGAAATCAGTTTGATAACCGGAGAGAACTCACTCAAGACTGAACAATGTGAAATCACTTGATAACTGGAGTGAAATCACTTGATAACTGGAGAGAACTAACTCAAGACTGAACAATGTGAAATCACTTGATAACTGGAGTGAAATCACTTGATAACTGGAGAGAACTAACTCAAGACTGAACAATGTGAAATCACGTGATAACTGGAGAGAACTAACTCAAGACTGAACAATGTGAAATCACTTGATAACTGGAGTGAAATCACTTGATAACTGGAGAGAACTAACTCAAGACTGAACAATGTGAAATCACTTGATAACTGGAGTGAAATCACTTGATAACTGGAGAGAACTAACT